TATAAACTTAGTTTCATTCCCTACTATTATCTTCACTAACAATGCTCTGACTCAGCTATCAAAAGCAAAATTAAATTGATTACAAAGGGTTGGATGGCAACAGGTCCCAACATACAGCGTCTGCTACGAAACCCGTGGATTATATTCAAAGTTCCCTTCAAACAAAGACGGGGAAACAGAGAAAACGGGGGACGTTTCCACTGGGGGACTCAGAAGGTTTTGTGGACGTTTGAGCGTAAAATGAATCCTTAAGGTTTTCAGGTTAGCCGTTATCACGATCATGACACCAATGCCTTCTCTTCTCCCTTCTCCTGCACCCCCATTCTAATTCCCATTATCTACCTTTTTTGGTGAATTTAGGCAATTTTCGGTGAGCTGGAACCAATTACCCAAAAACGATACCGCTCTACCACCAGCTCCCCTATTGAAACAATGGTTTCGGTTAACGAATTTTTCGGTTAACGAGCAACCTTCTAGAAAGGATTGTTCTCGTTAACCGAGGGACCACTGTACAGGAAATAAAAGGCCATATAATTACTTTTGTTTGAGAATTCGGTAAATGAAGACATTTTTGACCAGACATTTTTCAATACAGTGGTCCGTCGGTTAATGAGCACAATTCGTTCCAGAAGGTTCCTCGTTAACCGAAAAATTCGTTAACCGAAACCATTGTTTCAATAGGGGAGCTGGTGTTAGAGTGGTACCGTTCTTGCCTCGCAAGCAAGATGTCACGGGTTCGATTCCTGGGCCGGCGGAAGTTGTTTGGACACTCTTCCTAGTCCCCTTCGTCCCTGTTCACCTAGCAGTAAAGTAGGTACCTGCTGTAAGTCGAAAGTTGCGAATTCGTATTCAGGGACAAGTTGTTGGAACTTCCAATAACTTGCTTAGGCATAAACCATTGACTCTTCAGGCTTCTACGCCCTCGACCCTTCAGTCTTCTACGCAAGCAGTAAAGTACATTTACTTGAGGTGTGCATGTAGAAGGCTCCTGGTTGATGAGAATTAGAATGGGTGGAAGAGAAGGCATTAGGGGCGGAAGAGAAGTCACCCCATGCTGCCATTTCACCCATAAAATTTTAGTTCACTTGGTGTAAATCAAGATTATTTTCTTTAAATCAACACTGCACTGCATTATATATTGTCAATATGTAAAATATATTTCAAAATGATCAATAATTTAACTGGAAACACAAAAAAAAAGAGTTTATGTTGAAGAGTCTCAAACAAGATGTTCCTTCCTCTGAACTGGTAAACAAACTGACGGCAAGCTTGGTGTGTTGAGTGGCTGTTTGGCGCGCAAAAAAAAACTAGCTTCATGTACTTCAATTATGTTCAATAATTGTTAAAATGACTAAAAAATTTAATATAAAACTTTTAAAATTATTGAATAGTACAACCTTCTTGATGTTTACTAAAATGGTAAGGAATTTAAGCCCTAAAACCGATTACTGTATTGGTGGACTAATACTACAGCTGTTGGGCAGCCAAATGCAGGCGAAAACATGTTGAGAAAAATTCGTAAGGAATTCGTTAACCGAGGGTTTGTTCGTTAACCAAAGTGAAGAATCTTATGAAAGGTAATTTGTTAACCGAAATTTCGTTAACCGAGGGAGCACTGTATATACGTTATATATTATGTTACTTCTTACCAAAGTTAGAATGTGTTTAGGCCTGTGTAATCACGAATGTGCAAGGCACGTGGTACGACAATCATGTAAGATACGACACCTGTACCCTCGCCTGACTGGCTCTAAGGTCTTGCCTAGCATAAATAACCACACCCCTCTTGCAAGTTTCTTGAGAAAGGTTCGTAAATGAGTCATATCCAGAAATACTGAACTCCCATTCCTCTGGGTTGATTCTCCTGTTCTTGTATGACAGTTCTACAATATTGGGTTGGTGTACCTTCAGTAGTGTTTCAAACTCCTCTCTCTTATCAAGGAACGTGTCAGTATTAGTGTACATGACATTCAAGCCAGAATTTGTTTTTGGTAACGTCTGCCTTGTTGTAACTCTGGCTCCCCTCCATTCTCAGACACTGCAGCATTTGCTAAGTACACTGTATTTTGCAAGGTGTGGTTAGAAAATTCATTGTTTACATGGCACTCGCCTCCTGGCTGGTAGGCGGAGCTGGTCGTATTCCCTCTCGTCCTTGTTTTCTGGGGTATACATTCCTCTACTGTTATTTCAAGAATCTTCATAAAGTACTGATTCCTGTTCAATGATTTCCTTCCAGGTAATTCTCTGTAGTATGTTCCTCATGAGTGGATAATCTCCATGGTTGAAGTCATAGTATTCATCCTCAACTACTTTCTCTCTACTTTCAAGGATTGTATTCCATAGCCTACTCAGTAGTCAAGACTAAAGGCATTTATTGTAAGGCGTTTTGAGATGCACGGAATAGCCAAAGCATTAGCTTTCCCGGACTGTCATTAAAAAATACGACATTGTACGGAGTCTTTGGATAACTGTTGTACAACACATACTTCAGAAAACAATAATATTAGGAGAACTGTTATTTGAACACAATATGGAAATAAATAGTGAAGAAAATATATAGAAAATTATGGAAGGAAAGTCAAAAAAGGAAAATAAGTCAATCCGTCAACAATAAATAAGATTAACACAAAAAATCGGTCCCGTTGTAAAGGAAATTTCTCCCGGACTCGAACCACATGAAATGACTTGAACAGCTGTACACTTCTTCTATCGCGACTAGGTGTTCGCACATTTTGACACGAAATACGTTGAATTTCAGGCTCGTTTAAGTCTTAATTTTTGCACTTACAGAACTGTAATCAACTTATTCACCATTATTTAAAATATCTTATGATTAATGATATTAAAGTTTTAATCATATTTGAGTAATTATCAATAATGTTACACCAAAGTCACCAACGGCTAATGAGATCGGACACCACCCACTTAAAAAAGGGCGGAGCCAAAACAGATTTCAACTAGGCGAAATCCTTTTCAATTCTTTAACCCCATACGCTTTGTTTTAGGTCCTATCCACTGTACTACCTTATATAGAATTATTTTTATCATTATATCACAGTTTTTTATTGCCTTACATGCCCCAAACTCTTCAATATTTATCAAAATATTCTCCATAAGAGGCCATGATCTGTGTATTTTCAGTGGGAGAAATTGCTGATTGGTTGTTAGCTATTTGAGCCGCTTGGGAGCTGGACAAGGTCAACACCTGATCGAGGTGTTAGCTTTTCCCTCAAAAGCAGTGTCTGCGCATACAGAATAGCTAAAGCGTTAGCTAATCCGTGCATCGAAAATGCCTTACAATAAACGCCTTAATATACCAATTATGAGTACAGTACATTAACTATGAATATACTGTACTGTACAAAAATGATTGCCATTTAGGGATATGTCAAATGTGAATTGCCATTTAGGGATATGTCAAATGTGAATTGCCATTTAGGGATATGTCAAATGTGAATAAGTAGAAGTATACTGTACCAGTATGAGTTTCTCCTTGATTACTGTGGTGAAGATGAGTACAGTATACCAGATAATAACAATAAGTACAGTACATCACAATTTTACCCAAGTATGGTGATGGAGGTTGTTGTGCGAACTGTTGGAAACTTTATCTAATTTACTGTTTCAATATTTGGTTTAGGTAATACCAGTATATTATATAATAGGAATTGTAATTGCTATATTAGCCAGGGGAATTAGTTTAAGGCGAATTGTAATTGTTATATTAGCCAGGGGAATTAGGTTAAGGCTAAGTGGATATCATTATTGTTTTGTTTAATTTGTATGTTTGATTAGTATTGTGTAGGATTGCTGCCTGTCATAAAGTGAGATGGATGGATGCCTGCCCCTACAACTTACCACATAACCTATCAGAATACTCTGTTAACCTCATGCCAAGAGATTCACAATATAGCCCACCTAGATGATGATCCGATAACATTCCAAGACAACAAAGAGAAAGATAAGTGTCTTATATTTAACGGTACTGTATCAAATAAACTACAGTATAGCAGGTCACTAAATAATGTATATAAACAACATGCGGTAGTCAGATAAAGTGAGCTGTGCTTTAATATATCTTATCGTTGTTTGTCGAACCCCTTATAAACAACGGTACAATCATCGCGAGGCAATGTTCATTATTCCAAGGTGTCTGGAGAGTAATTAAGTTAATTTTCTGTATTCCACTGTTTATTACCATATTATTTAGCTCCAGTAGATGCACTTGTGAAGAAGAGAGATTTCAAAACTGTATGCATAGGTTTGGTTGTTTTCAGGTGTGTTTCTGTCATAGAAATGTTAAGACTTCACTATATGATAGTCACCATACAAAAATGTACAGTATCTGTACTTTGCATGTGCATGATTATTTTACATACTTTTCTGGTACATTTCTATTCATATGAAGGTTAAGAACATTTTATGATACTGTACCTGTACTTTGTGTTTAGGATCTTTAAGGTACCTTAAAAGTTTTAAAGGGCAACGTCTTATGATACAAGTAAAATTGCCAAACAAGTCATGTCTCAATACCAGCATAACTCATAATAGCTTGTGTCTGTTTCTTGCATGTTGAAACTAATGGTTGATTTGTCAATACTGTACTGTATCATATTAAAAAACAAATAATAACGTCCAAATATGAAATTCTTTTTCAAATGTGAACTTTTTATATACTGTACGTATTCTTCACTTTTTTGATAAAAAATATCCAACATTTTGATGCTGCCTGATAATCAGCTACACCAATGATGGGTAGCTACAATCTATAAAGTGATAGTCATATTGCAACAGTATTGTTGTTAGAAAAAGCTGTAATACTGTATCTTTAGTTAAACTTCCTGAAAATTATAGTAAACTTTCTGATAACAGTGATCCTCAAAGTGGAATTCAAACTTTAAAGTGACTATACAATTTATATGTTTTACCCTTGAGGCAATACTGTATACTGCAATGTAAAAGACTAAAAGTATATCTGAGGTAGAAAAAACAAACAAATATTTTATGAAAGAAGAACATACAATGTTTATTCAGTAACAGGTTACAAACTGTGGGTAGTGTAGCCTTTAAACAGGGCGCAGTATCAGTACTATCAGTTTTGGTAAGCATGCCAAGCTACACATTCCCAGTTTGGTAGTGAGTAGCCTACCATACCTCCACTGCGCTAGTGAGCAAGGGCAGGGCCGCGCCGCCCCCGCCGCCTGCTGCTGGTGGCACTCCAGTGATGATGACTGTGTAGGGTGGTGGTGGCTCATAGATGGGTAATCATCAGAGCATTAAGAATGAAGTCAAATACTGATTCACTGGTATTCATACTTGCCAGTGTTACCTATAAAAAGGGTGACAGCAGCAAGCTGTAAACACCAGCAATGCAACATTTAGCTCTCCAGTCTGAGTTTTGCCCTGCCCCAGCTACCACCACCCGCCCACCACACTTCCCGTTATTTCACTGGTAAATACCAATGTTATTGTGGGCCTGTGTGCCACTGTAGATCACCAGAGAGTGTGTCAGGTGGCTGCAGGTGATGTACCGATGCCGGCGGGCGGATCATCCCTGGCGGGGGCAGGCGCAGGGAACCAAACAGTTTCATTCACACTGTCAACATTCGAATGTCTTATAGAAAGACAATATAACCACTTATAAGAAACATTAATAATACTTTGGATCATAGGTGTTCCATGGAGCATTAGTCTTGGCAAGATTACTACGTTCTTCTGGGTGTAAGGCATTGGCAGAACAGACCCACACCAAAGTTAGGCTACACTGCCACCCACATCACATATTATTTCACACATTCACCTACTTCCAGGCACCTGGTGCATCAACAACCCACACCCAGGAACAGGTTGTATAATTAACACAGAGCATGGGTTGTACTGCTCACACCTGCCAAACCTCGCCCCATCAATGCCTGGATGGAGATGGCACAACTACCCAAAGCTGACAGCATCACCTGCCACAATTGAGGCACGTTATCACATTCTTATCTGGGCAGTGTAACTTTCACATCTGACATTGAGTATTACAGCTTTACACTCACAGTGAGTCGATTATTTTGTACATATATCTGTTAACTTATACTGTATGTTTCTTTGCAAGATTAATTTTTATTGTTATAATTACTAATGGACAAAATATTGCAATGTACATAAGTGTGTGGATATTGTCACTTACAAACACAGCCTGTGTCAAAATCCAAACCTTTGGCATTGACCTGTATTATCTTTATATGAGCGAAGAGGGAATTAATGTGATGTTAGTAACTGCCAATTTTTCCACTGATACTTAAAGAGCAAGTAATCACAAAGAGTACTTGGGTATTGAGTTCACAACTACCAAGTACAGCTGAAAGACCATTTTCACATAGTTACATTAGCAAATACAATGAACTCTAGAGAAGGGGGCTTTATCACTCATATCTAAGTATAGCTTAAATGAAAGGGTTTGTCAACTATCACCACCATCCAGGCACAAGCATAGTAATATGGGCTGTAACTGGTTAAGCTTTGTCCAGCAACCCATCACATGTTGCATTTGGCAGTACCTGTGTATCCTGCAAGGGTAATGTATCTGCAACAACCCATGCCCTTCAACAGTGCATGTGTTTTTCTCATGGTATTGGCTGCATTGCTACCAAACACCTGGGTTGGGAAACAGTGCCATCTACACCTTGAGATGAGTTGTTCTGCCGGCCACATCCAGGCACTGAGATGACAGTGCTCCATAACAGAGGGGCCTCCCCCACTGCCGCCACCACCACCATTACAACTGCCTTGTGGCGTAAGTTATAAGTCCCCTCATACACATATGCACATGCCCAATGGGCATTACAACCACAACCTCTCATATGCATTTTCACTATTTATCCAGAGGTATTAAAAAAAATGAAAATAATTATATTCTTACATAGTTCCCTTTACACCTTTCATAATGATGGTGATTCTTTGAAGTAGTCTTAACTTGGTTAGACACAGGACTAAACTACAGTATATGATTCAGAACTGTGAATTTGTAACACTGCAAAGTAGATGAGAATAAATATGAAATTCAAAAAATATTATAAATTACTGTACTGAGGAAATATGAATACTGTTTTTACACACTGTGTGATAACTGATACATTCATCCTGGCATTCAACAATTTTGCTCTTTATCAGGTACACGACACATACACTTGGCGGCAGTGGTGAGGTTTTAGGTAGGGGACTCAGCATAAAATCTGAAACCTTTTGAAATTCATAAACCCTATAAAAATTATTTTAACTAGCCCAATAGTCTATGCCACTATAAACAAACCAGAGGGGAGAGAATCAATGGAGAGTGGATGACACATTTCACGTCTTTTGTGGTTATCACTTACACCGTGCACGTCTCTCATACTGCGTCTTTTTCTCATGCTGTACACGTTATCATCCTTTTCTGTAAATTTAGACCAATGATCATACAAAGCAATAAAAAAATGTAGCAAACTTTCAAGAATAACAACTTTTCTGTATCACATGTCGAGCAACTCGGTAAAAATCGGTGAGCGTGGTCTATAATTGTGTAAAGGTTAAAGATAAATTTTTAAGTCTCCCTAACTATTTTAAACCCCAACTTTCATCCTTATTAAAAATGGCTCAATATATATATTACTATAATGCAAAAGCTAAGTTAGGTTATCTGTTATACATTACTATATGTATGTGCCACTCATTCTGAATTACCTCAGACATTTGAGTCATAATGGAAATCTCAAAAATATCTATACATAGAATTTTTTTAAAGAACTCTTAATACATAAATCAACCTGACTTGATGGGACTGCTTGTGACTTAATAAGAATTCAAATTGTTTGCTATTCTGGTAATTCTGACAGTATGCCATCAAAACATTTTCCATAAACAAATCAATAAGTATTTTAGTTATGTAATAAGAATTAAATAAATTCTTACAATTCCAGAGACAATGAATGGAATAATTTTTCAATCTTAAAGAAGCTCTGGGTGAAGAAAACAGCTTCAATAACTTTTTTTTTTTGCCACTTTGCTGTCAAGAAAACTTGAAACTTGTATCAACATGTAAAATTTGTGAAATTTAGCTACTGCATTTCTTGAATGATATTGCAACTTGAGGTTTGATAAGGCTAACCAATAATAATCTTCATGATCCCAAAATAAATGGGAACTTGACTAGTATCACTTCACAGTATAAATCTTGCTTTTCCTTCACAGACTTTGCTGATCTAGTCAAGATTTTACAGTGACTCTGGACAAGTAAGAACTCATTTTGATAAGACTCCTTTTCAATAAAAATCTTTAAGTTCAATGGAGCATGATATGTTATGAAATGCAGTCAAGTGCTCACATTCTATTCTCAAATGGTATATACTCTGCAAATCACTAATTCCCTCCCCTAATATCTAATAGCTGAATGTACATAATGAAACCTATTTCAAGATTTACAAATGTAGGAATGATTGACGCTGAGCCTACATAGCAGTGTGTGCCAGGGCCACCTAACAGGAGGTCACTGGGCTACCACAAGTGCAGCTGCCACAGAATACATCAACATATGATGATGATGATGATGATGAGGATGATGATGCTCTCCACCAAGATACAGCAAAGCCATTTTATTACATATTAGTTGGTAATATGAAATTAAATGTTAATCCAGATTCAGTTTCATTAAAATGTATTGCATTAATTAAATACTAAGTTTTATTGTAGAACAAAGCATACTAACTAACAAGATCTGACTGTGCACCACACCAAGGCAGCCAAGCAAACTGTAAGGGCAGCCAGCACCCCCTGTTAGGAACAACCCAGCCACCGAGCACCAAATGGGGAAGGTGGCACCCAGGCCTCCACCCACAACTGGCCAGAGATTGGAGGGGGTGGTGGTGGCAGCTGATCCTCTCTCTATGTCAGCTGCGGTGGTGGGCAAATCAGGGCAGTGCTTATTCTAGGCCTCTCCACATATTTCTTTACAATATAAGTGGGTGGCATGGGGATGCAACTTGCACTAAGCCCTACTCGTCTCTTGTCAGTGGTGGTGGTGGGTATTGCTTCACCCATCAAACCACTACAGATTTGTGCAGTCATATGGCCACCTCACCGATTGTCTCCTATCCATGCTCCTCTGCAGATCCTGGTAGTCTGACTAAACAACAATGCCAACAACACATTGTAACTAATAAGTATTTATATTACTGTTTGATCAGAAATTCTAAAACCTAGAGATTCCTTAGCAAGCAATTTCCTCTTTTGTAAAGCATCATGTAAATTATGCATATTTCAAGTAAAATTAACTTGGTAATGTTCTGTGCCTGTCTGACACGATTCACTCACAGTTGCGTTCACTCTGACGGCATATCACTGCTACTTCACTATCTGTTCACAGGTGTTCCTGGCAGTCTTCCAAGTACCAATACCTTTCAGCATGTCACTTCCCCCAAATTACATTACCTTGGAAGGCTAGTAGTAATCCTGGCACTTTTCCAAGTTTGTTTTTCAAATTTTTCACAAATAATAATCATCCTGGCACTTACTCTTTATAATTTCTATATAGCTCATATATCCACTTATATCAGTGAATACTAGGCCTCTTACACTGCCTGCAGTATACTGTATGTCATTTCTTTTAGGATTTCCTAAACATTATTTGAGCGAGCTCAGTCCACTAACTCTATATTTGTGGCACTTTTTGGAAACATTGGTGTCTGTTATTGTTTTGTCTTTTATGCAGAACAGTTTTACATCAATCTTTTCAGTACTATCCTACCACAACTTCATTACATCTCGAGCTCTGATCCAGGTATGAATGTCTGTGTTGCAGAGCTGTTTACTAATATCACTCACTGTACACCAATACTTTAAATATCCAAGAACCAGTTAGCCAGATTTAATACATTCAAGACATGAGTTTGAGATTTTATGTGTATAGCATAGTTTATGAGTATAAACCATGATGTAAACCATTTCATGTTCTGGATGATCAATAGTATGGTTAACTGGGATCTTAGTGGTGGCAGTACCGGTGTATCCTCCTCTAATGGTGGGAAGCAACACCCTGGACACATTCAGTTCGACAGGTGGGATGGCACTTTTGCAGGACAGCCGCCACATCGCTCCCTCGATTGTCTACAGATCCGCTGAACTATTACAAAGGGCCCTCCATCTCCAGCTATCACTAGAGGCAACAAACATGAAGAAAGCTGGGGCAAGCGTAACGGAGTGAGTCGTCTGTCAGGGACACCCACAGGCTCAGCTGCAGCTGCTGCTGCTGCACACCACGTGTTTAGGGCAGTGACTCGTTGGGGGAGAAGGCTGCTAAGGGCCTAAGGAACCTGCGACCCTAGCGCAGGTCACTTCCAGGCGAGCTGTAACCCGATCTGTGTCCAGACCTACTGGCTGACCTGCTTCCAGATCTACTAGCTGACCTACTGGTAGGTCGGCTAGTTGTTCTACTACCTTGCCGACTGGCTGGTCGGCTGCTTGGCCGACTAGCAGGTCGACTACTAGACCGACCACTTTCTGGCTTACTGTCCAGTCTATGAGCAGGGCAATCAACTGCATGTCGCACAGGATGGTGATCATATATTACTTGTGGACCGCCTACCACAGAAGCTGCTGCAAGTGCTCCAGGACTTCGGGGATCACCTCTACTTGCAGTCACAGCACCTGTTGCTGTTAGAGGTAGATGCTCAGGCCGAGGTGACCAGGTGCCAGGCATAAAGGCGCGGGGGGGAGGAGGGGCTGCAAGTTGATCTAATTCAACCCCTTGGGGTGGAGGGGGCCAATCTTTGGTTTCCAGGGCCTCTTGGCTTGCCCGCAGCCTTGGTGGAAGCACACCATGGGGCCCACGAACAGGGGATGGTGGCGGCTCCGGAGACCATGATGGTTCACGGCCACGGGGCTTGAGCGAATGCCACGCGGGAGGATGGTCCTCCGGCACCACATGTGCCGGAGAGGGCTCAGACCGCCGGCCCTGTGGCGGCCATGAGCCCTGGGCGTGTCCTCACATCCGCGTGGTGGCCTCTAGTCATACAGGTGGATCAGATGGATGAGGCATGGTCTGGGTCTGGGCAATCACTGACTGACCACTGCTGGCACTGCTGTCTGGTTGACTAGAGGCTTGGCTAGAGGCACGGGAGCTACTCACCCCACTTTCTGCCCTACTGCTGCCTCCACAGGAATTGCTACCATCACTCCCCCGTCGCCCCAGGCCGCCGGGTCCATCGCTTCTGTCAGAGCGTGCTGAGGGTGCTGTGGAAGTACAATCTATAATAAAATTTCATAATATTGGTTGCTTGGCTAAATTTTATGTAGTCTTCACCGATTTGTAGCTAAATTTAAAATCAGTACTTTTTAATAAACTTTTGAACTACAGTGCATTTTTCAATTTCTTTCAAAAATTTTTTCACTACTGGGTATATGGAAAATTGAAAATTTTCTTTATTCTCTATTAATGAGCTTATATTATACAACCATGCTCTGCAATATACATACTGTATGGAAATGTAGCATAGAGTTAACAATAAATCAAATTTTGAATGTAATATAAACATTCTACAATACATCACAGAAATTATGTCGACGTCATAAATTGCTCACACTACTGCAACAATATTAAACATCTTGCACAATCGTCCATAATATAGCACTCATTATATTTGAAGGAAGATCTGCCTCAGTCTGTAAGAACATAATGGTTATCTAATTTACAGTAAAGCTGTTGGGATTAAATTATATTTTATTTACCTTACTGAGACCCAATTTTCCTAATAATGAAATACACTAGACCACAACTGGATAATAATATACTGTACATCTCTTAATGGTTAATTTGAATTCAATCTGTTCTAATGATTCACCTTACTACCAGGGCACAGTTCATTGACATAAAGGACTTTGAATGTACAGTATAGTATGTGTATGCAAATTGATGATTTATGCATGTATGTGTAGTGCTTGTACTTGTTGCCCTAACTCTTTCTTGTTGCTCTCTAAACCTGTCTTGCTCTGCTCTCCCCAATAAGTTTCCCAATTTCTTTACGGTTCAATCCCGAGTTTAAGACAGATGTGTGAAGGGTGTTATCAAGTGTGACCTTAATAAACAAGGCAAGTTTGTCTTTAGGCACTCCAGTTTCCTCCTGGACAAAAAAGGTGACAAAGAATGGCTAATAAGCTGACAAGTGGTGGAAATGATAAAGTAAAATTACAACTGTTTTAGTTTTTATAAATTTTAACTGAAAAATTAGTAAAATACTGTATTATTAGTTGAATGCTTATTATCATAGCATGCAAAAGATAGCTAAAACTTCCCTCTCTTTGATAAATAAATAAGAGCGATTTATTATTTGCTTTAAAATTTATACAGTAAACCTTCGATATAATGGACGTCTATATTGGACCTCAGCTGTAATGGACACTCTGACCCATTTGGACTAGGTTTATATACTGTATTAGACAAAGGTCCGTCAAAGTAAATGGCCGGACCAGCATTTTAGCTTTAGGTCCGCGTAGGTAACAGTCCTACAAATCTCAAAATAATAGTTAAATTAAAAAAATAATGGACCATTCTTATCCAAATTATCACAAATAATTACAGTAATGCCTGTACCCCATTTAACCCTACCCTGCATAATGCTGATTTGTTATGGAGCTCTTTGGTCCTACCCTGGAGTTAATTTTTACTAGAAAACAAAACAAAAAATGATGAAAATCCATAATTTAAGGCAAAAGTTATAAGACAGAACACTTGGGACTCATTTAAAATGGACAGACTTGTTCACAGTCTCTCAACCAATGAGAGCAACATACCCATGTACGCTCGCAGCCAATCAGCGCTCTCCTCCTTTTGTAAAAATATTTCCTGGTAGTATTCAACTTACTTAACATGCTCGCTGTTTACATGACTGATTTCTGCATATTATAGTGAATATTTGTGACCCAAGTTATTTTTTACTTGAAAAAACAGACAAACATCCATAATACGCACACGACAGGTGTTCACTTGTGCCTGACAGTGCAACGGTCATTATTATACATCATTTCCCATCACTTGCAGCCAACAAGTACCGTACATGTCACTAACGTGTATAACACCTTTGTTTATTCTGCTAGCCCCAGTTTGAACATGTTCTTATCCTGTAAACACCAGTTGGTAATGGTAAGGGTTGGTGGTGACCAACAATCATCATTACCAGAAACAACCAACACTCATCACCATCACCACCACCACCACTCACCATCACCACCAACATTCACCATTGCCAACACTCACCATCACCACCACTAACAATCACTATAATAGCCACCAACATCCATCATATCACCAGCAACATTCACCACCATCAACTGGTGTTTATAGAATGCGTTCAAACGGGCAATGGAGTGGCAACCTGCAGGCTAGGGTAGTGGAAGCAAGAGTGCCAGCACAGAGCCTGGGGATGGAGGAACACTCCCCACACACTCTACCTCCCACCCAGGTGGAGGTGAGCGCCATGTAAACAATGACATCTCTGACCACACCCCGCAAAAAAAGTGTATTTAATAAATGCTGCAGCTGCTGAGTATGGAGGTGGTACAGTGGTAACGAGCATAACTCTTACCAATATGTCAAGGGTTCGAGCCTCGGCCCGGACACACGTGACAAGGGTGTTATCCAGTGTGACTACCAAACACCACAGGTTTCCCCGGTCCCGGTTTCCTCTTGTAATAACATTGGATAGACTGCCCAAATGACTATTAAGCTGATAAGTGGTGAGTATGATATAAAAAAGAAAAGAAAAAAATTAGAGACTTACCGAGAACAAATTCCGGCTTTAAAGTTAAGGACACTAATACTGACACGTTCCTTTATAAGAGAGAGGAGTTTGAAACACTACTGAAGGTACATCAACCCAATATAGTAGGTGCTGGAGAACTGTTGTACAAGAACAGGAGAATCGACCCAGAGGAATGTGAGTTAAGAATTGACGGATATGATTCCTTTACGAACCTTCCTCAAGCAACTTTCAAGAGGGGTGTGGTTATCAATGCTAGGCAAGACCCTAGAGCCAGTCAGGTGAGGGTATAGGGAGAGGATGTTTTTGAAGAATCAAAGTGATGTAAAATTAAATTAAAAGGGAGAGACTTACTTATTGTCGGGTGTATCTACAGATCCCCAAACTGTAGCTTATTAAATCAAAGAAACTTAATAGACAATGCAACGGTGCTCAACCCCAGCCACTTCCTTGTCATGGAGGACTTTAACTATGGCAACATCGACTGGAGAAATGAGACCACGCCAAATGACTTAAATAACCCTGCTACTCTTTTTGTTGAAACTCTGAGAGATAATTTTCTGTTTCAACATTTCAAAGACCCGACTCATTACAGAGGGGAACAAACAGCCAAGCCACTGGACCTCATCATAACAAACGAGGAGGGTATGGTGACCAAACTGGAACACCTAGCCCTCATTTTCACCAGCCACCTCATAGCATTGTCTTTCAGATTTAACTGTTACTTGGTTCACGACAAAACCAGGCCAAGGTTAAAATATTACAAGGGAAATTATGACAGGATAAGGGAGGAGATGAGGGGTGTCTACTGGCCTGACTCGTTAAGGTATAAGAACGCAGACACTACGCTGAATATCATAGCCAGTAAAGTGAACGATTTGATTGAATAATATATACCCAAGACCAAACCCAGTGCCTCCAGAATTACAAGGAGACCGCGGTCGACAAAGTTAAGAAGAAAACCCAGAAAATCAAGACGTGGGTTAGGACAAATGATGAGCAGGACAGGATGATGTATGCCAGATCCAGGAACCAAGCAAAGTCAGAGTGTAGAAGGGCTGAGAAGGAGTTCCAGAAGCTGTTTGCAAGCAAGGTCAAGTCAAACCCAAAGGCATTTTAAAGCTACGCAAAGTCAAAATAAAAAATGCGAGAAGGAATATCGGACCTGAGGCTTGAAGATGGTAGTTACGCAGATTCTAACCAGACAAAGCGGAGATGTTAACAGTTTCTTTTCCTCAGTGCTCACAAGGAAGGATGCGAACAATCTTCCTGGGTTTGAGGACAGATGGTTCGACATAGCGCTGATCCACATTGTGTTCTCAGAAGAGGTTAAGAAATAAATTGTCAAAGCTAAAGGTTCATAGGAGTCCAGGCCCTGACATGGTACATCCCAGAGTGCTAAGAGAGTTATGCAACGAGCTTGCTGAGTCCCTGAAGATCATGTTCTATAAATGTCTGGATGAGCAAAAGGTCCCCAGTGATTGGAAAATGGCTTATGTGAGTCCTATCTTCAAGAAGGAGATCAATACTCCATGAATAATTATAGACCAGTGAGCCTGACCAGCATAGTATATAAATTTCTTAAGAGCATTATAAAAGATGCCATGGTGGAACATCTACTAAGAAACAACCTTGTAAAGGATTGCCAACATAGTTTTATGCCGGGACACTCCTGCTTAACGCAATTGCTCAAGTTACTAGATGTTTGGACCTGAATTCTGGAACAGGGTGGCAATATTGACAATATAAACACTTATACCTAGGTTTTGCCGTGAAAGGCTAAAAATCAAACTGGAAGGGTATGGGATTCGGGGAAGTGCCCCAGTGTGGATCGGAGACTTTTTCTAGGATCGCAAGCAGTGTGTGGTGATTAATGGCAAGAAGTCGTCATGTGTACCCATGACAGGCGGGGTACCACAGGGCCGTGTATTGGGCCTGCTGTTGTTTGTTTGCTTCATAAATGACATGTCAGAAGCTGTACATTCCTGCATACAAATGTTTGCAGACAATGCCAAGCTATATAGGGAATTGAGACTGAATGTGAAAAGGACCTGGGTGTGTATGTTGACGATGAACTGAAGGTACATTCATTACCCAGTGCATGCTCAGTACTTGCCAACAGTGCATAACAGAGACATGACCGATCACTGAAGCAGCTAACAAGTCGATCATATGTCCCAATGGGACAAAGAAACTTCATTAATTGAGACTGAATGTGAAAAGGACCTGGGTGTGTATGTTGACGATGAACTGAAGGTACATTCATTACCCAGTGCATGCTCAGTACTTGCCAACAGTGCATAACAGAGACATGACCGATCACTGAAGCAGCTAACAAGTCGATTAGTGGTGAAGAGGAAAAATAAATCAATCAATAAAACAGAATAAACAAAGTGGCCCTAACAGCTCTACACTTTAGTAACACATACTGTACTGGCTGGTTGTGTGATGGGGCTTAGTGGTGATGTTGATGGTGAG